CATTTTTCAGCATAATCCGATTTCAGCATAATCCCCACAATAATAATTATTATTATTATTTAATAATAGTAACATTTATACATCTCTAAAAATATAAAAATATTATTATTGAAATACTTACATAACAAACATAATGCAATTCTTTGTTCAATAAGAGAATAGTTATTTCCTAAGCACCTATTATTTTAATATAAAATTATAATTATTAAAATAATATATAATTATATTCATAAATAACACAATTAAAATAATAATTAAAGAACAAACTAACATTCTAGCTCCAGAACCAAAAGCTAACCAAGAATAATTTTCACTATCAGCATATTTATTTTTTTCAAATCTCTCAGGTAAAAATTCTTCAGGATTATCCCAAAGTTTTGGTGAATGATGTATTCCATATAAAAATAGTTCAATAGGTGTACCAGCTGGAATTACAAAGTCTTTAATTTTTAAATTTTCAGTTAATTCACGAAATAACAAAGATGAAGCCTTTATTTATTAACAATAATAATAAAAAATTACAATGTTATAGTTATTGATAATTTAATTTAAAATACATTAATGTATAAATTTATACTTACTGGTGGATATAATCTAAGGTTTTCATGAATAATCATATTTAAATATTTTAAAGATCTATGTTGATCTGCTGATGGTATTAAATCATTACCAAGTATTTTTAATACTTCTTCTCGAGCTTTTTCTTGAACATTCTACATAAAATTATACAGTTTATCAATGAATATAATAATAATAGTAATAATTAACAATAACAATATAATAATAAAATATTTATCTTACTTTATAAGTCGATAATAGATATAAAGTAGTCGACAAAGTAGTTGAAGCTAATTTATAAATAAATTTGTAGAATATTATAGTATTATAAAAATTATAGATATCTTTTAGTATAAGATTTAGATATATATATACTCACATGTTTCATGACCTGCAAGCATAAACATAGCTAGATTATACTATTTAATTTGCCTAATTAAAATTTGATTTATAATAATAAATAAAATGAAAAAAAACTTTTTAACTTACTCTTATTTCAGTATCTGATAGCATTTGATTATCAAGATTTTCATTTGCATTTAACATGTTTTCTAAAAGATCTCCTTGAGACTTTTTAGCAGCTAAAGCTTTATACTTCTCTTTAATAATTTCATTAAATATGTTATTTAATTTATTAACTTTTTTAAGTCTTTGTTGTCTTATTATTGGAATACGATCAATTGGAAATAACAAACTTAATGGATCAAATATTGTCTTTTGAGCTTCATTAAATGTTGTTATATAAGCACTATTTGGATTTCCAAGGCTCTAATACAAATACATATTTATCAAAATATAAAATTAACAGGTTAACTATAATTAATAAATTTCATTAATACTTACATTAAAGTCAAAACCAAAAGCAACTTTTCCAAGAACATCAAAAGTATATCTATAAAAAATTAAGTTTATTGTAGTGATTTAAAGTAGGAAATAATGAAATATTAAAAGAAAATAGTTTTTTACCTTTGCATAAAATTTTTAATTTCAATAGGCTTTTTATCAATTGTTTCTAAAATATCAATCATTTTCAATCCAGTTTCTGCAAAAAGATGTAATGGTAAAGATTTAAATGCAGGATTGCAAACATGTCTAAATAGAATTAATATCATTAGTAAGTTAAAATTTTGAGGTTGAAGCTGAAAATTTACAAAACCGAGATCTATAATAAAATTTTACATTTACTATAGTGACAAATAGATCAAGTTTGGTTAATGCAGTATATAAAACATTGATACATATTTAATGAAAATTATTATACAAATCCAAACAGTTAATTAAATTGAAAATTATAGCAATAAAGTTCTTTATTATAAATATTATATAATATTGGACAAACTTGTATAGTTTTAGCCAAAACCTCAATTTTGGCAAATTGTCAGCCTTAGTAATAATAAAAAAAAATACCTGTGTCTTTTCCAAACCTAAAATTTAAATGCTAATAGTAAGTTTTATCAAAGGAAAAATAATAATAAATTTAATTAGTACTTACTTCACCATTTGAGAAAGACACATTAGTTCCAAAGTATTCTGCAAATAGAGAATTTGGAAAAACCTTTTCAATGCTCATTTTAGGATAAACATCTGTTAAAAAATTTGGATTAAAATTATGCAAATATGACATGTCACTGAATTATTAATAAAATGCACCTGGTTTCAATAAAAGCTCCTTTGCAATCGCTGGATCAGTTACTAAGCAATACCACTTCCCTCTAATACGTTGCTATATAAATGACTCATTATTTTGTTTATAAAATTATAATTATATATATGTGTGTTTTAAATTTTACCTTTACAATTCCATCCTTTTCAAAATATTGTTTAAGTTTTAAATATTGTTTGTCATATCCTTGTTTAGTAATGCTCATAAAAATTCTGTCAAAGAACGTAATTGTGTGAATATTTTTAAAAGCATCCGGAGTCTTGAAGTTTATTTTATAATATGTTATTAGTAGGATAGCGATAATAAGTAGGAAAGTCCAAAAAATCATGGTTATTGACTTGGTAATTTCAAAGAACAAATATATTTTGAAATATGCGTACAATATATCGTGTCAAAACTTTTTATATAGAAATTTCGGCATATAATTTTTGCGAAGAAATAAGGTTAGTTTGTGGTACACAGGTAGATTGTATGATACGTAAGTTCGAATCTTACCTTAGTTACCTAATTTTTTTTTTTTTTAAATATATGGACATTAACCATAGCTTCCGCAACTAAATTGGACCGACAGATCCTCGATTTTAGGTAATGCCCATTTTGGTACGGCACAGTATATTATAAAGTACATATATGTACCTAGTAATTTGTGGTACTTAACATAATCTAATATTACAGTTTTTCATTTTGACTTTTAAACAGATCTTTTCATTTGGCATTCGCACCAATCACCAAATTTTTGATCTTTTTGCCATCCATCATACGTCGCCAACCTGTAGATCAAATACAATTTCACGTGTAGTGTATGATAGATCGACAAATGTACGCAACACAAAATTTGAGAAATGATCATCCTAACACTAACCATAAAGAGTTTTTGGATAATAACGATAATCCTTACACAAACCGTAAAGAGCTGTTAGATCATTTTGCTTTATTTAATTATCATGTTACACTGATGATTGGCTAAAGCTCACATGATTGTTAGCGATGTGAATAGTTTATACAAAATTAAATCCGTATTTTAACGGATTGACTGCATAGTTTGAATAGTTAATCGACAATCCACATAGTTTGCGTAGTTAACTACAGAACTACTATAGAACTATAATCCGTATAGTTTGAATAGTTGATCGGCAATCCACACAACTCTAATCTGTATAGTTTTAATAGTTATCTACAGATAACTATAGTTTTAATAGCTTTAATAGATAACTATAGTTTAATTGTTAACTATAGTTGAAATGTTAATTACAATTAGCTACAGTTTCGAGTATTTAACTATAGTTCGAGTAGTTGATTTGCAATATACGCACGTATGTACGGATAATACGGATTACACAAATTACGGATCCCTAAAACTCCTTGTCGGAATGCGTCGGGATCCTGCTCTGATGGACCGGAATTGCCAATTTTGCCCAAGATCACCGAAAATTTTACCATTAACGTTAAAAACCATAGTCGTTCATTAAGTAAAAAGTACCCAGCTGATAATTTTACTATGACTCAGTATATCTAACACTAACCCTAATGCCGATGCATTCCGGCCAGGAATTTCGGGGAAAATATCAGCCTGTGATTATCGATTTTCTATTTGGATAATTATTTTTGAATCCAGATTAAAATGTTACTATTATTAAATAATAATAATAATTATTATTGTGGGGATTATGCTGAAATCGGATTATGCTGAAAAATG